ACTGCTGCCATATCTTAGGTGGATCTTCTAATGATGCTCTTTCTTTTTTAGAAAAGGTGCAAAAACGCATTGTAAACATAGTTACAATCTTCATCTTTTCTCTTTAAGTAACTTCCAACTTTAATTAGTGGTTCTTGCAGCCTTGTTGGAAGCGAAGATGTTGAAAATAAACAACAATAAAAAAACTTTTATAGAATTAAAAAGCTGAAAATCTTTATTTTTTTAAATTATAATTGCTTTAAGATCAAAATTTATCACAGAGTTTTAACTTGTCATCGAAATTTGAAAAAAGAAAAAAAAAAAATAGAGGTTATCTTAATGTTGCTATAGATTTTTAATCTTAGCAAGGCCCTTAGCAGCCATGTTATGGAATTATAACACCTCTATTGCCAGTTATTTCTTGTGCAATTCCATTCTAATTTGTTTTGAAGTATTCTTTATGCACTTATCATAACTGAAAAAAGTTGTTTTTTCAGGAATTAAGTCAAGACTCCCGCTAAAATAATGCCTCAATGACCAAACGCAAAATGTGAATAATTGTTTAAATGGACTTATTTGGACCCGCTGTCCCAAATCTACCTATTGTAGCATAAAAGTACTTACAATTGAAGTGTGTTCGGCCCCCATAAGTTTCACTGTATTGGAAATATATTTGAATTGTTTATATTCCACGTGAAAGTTTTTTTGAAAAAAATGCATTAAAATGTGGCAGAACTTTAAATCATTTTAAATAGTCATCTAATATTTAAAAAACACAGAGAAAAGTAAAGAGGTGTAAGAAAAGAGTTTATATTCATAAAAAGGTATTAAAGAATCCCAACTCTATAATTCGGGATCCCATTGAGTTAAATCTGTTATAAATATTATCTGATTTTTAAAACTGTTATTTAGAGTACGTGTTTTTAGTTGTTTTGGTAATACCGTTTACATAATATTTTCACTAATACATTATGAAACTTCTTGAAATTTTCCACAAATGCTCGGTACTGATATAGCTACAAAATGAGCATCATTGAAGAGTCTCGCTTATTCAGATTTGTACTTATGAAATTTTGAATAGGCGAATAAAACTATGAAAATCACCAATTGTTATGAAAATGACTATATTAAAAAAAAAAAAAAATTTATATTATTTTGTCTTCATTCTTTATTTGTAATTTATGTTAATTATGTTTGCAATTAATGTAAAAACTGTCTAATTGTATAAAAGTACCCAAAATTAATAAAGATAAAAATTTTTTATAAGCCTAATAATAGTCACCACAGCTTTAAAATACTATGTTTTTAAAACATTGTTTTAAATAATTATTATATCGATTGTATATTTTATTAAACCTTACTTTTTAAATGTTCCCTTTTTTTGTTTTAATAATTTGATTCTTACTTTTAGATTTAAGCTTGATGATTGGCTGTAATACGCTATTGAGTACAGTCATGGTATGTAATGAATTTAAAAAAAAAAAATTATTGACAACTTTGATCATAAGTTTTTATTTAAAAACAATCATGTTTACAAAAAAGATTAGTTTATTTTGATGTTTTATTTGGATTTGATAATTACTATTTGACACGGAATTCATCAATTTTTTTTTATTGAACTAAATAAGAACTAGATAATGTAATACAACTTTTTAAAAAAGGTAGTATTTTTTAATAGTAGACGATACTTACATGTTGTTGGAAAAAAAAACTTAAAAATAACACAAAAATAGGATCCGAATTCCCATTTGTTTTAAAAAAAGTATTTTATCCTTTTACTGTTTGTTGTTATCCCAAAATGTAAATTCCAATTATAAAATATACTAAACTAAATTATTTTTATCGGTGAAAATAACCAAAACCCATTAACCAATGTGTTTACAGTTTGCAGCACAATTACTAAACTCGTAAATACGATAACTGAAAAGTGTCTTTATAAAGTGTGCACATATAAATAAAACAACCATTTTAAGTCTTACAGCATGTAAACTAATAAATATAACTGACTCATTGATTTAATGGGCCGGGTGAATAAAAAAGAGCAATTGCTCACAAGCAATTGCTCTGAGAAAAAGTATAAGCTAAAAGCGAATGCTCGCCGTAATAGCAATTGCTCAAAAATGTGTGAATAAAGTTTTGCTAATGCTCGCAAGCAATTGCTTTTGTGTCGGAGTAAAAGCTATATGCCGTTGCAGATATAAGTAGCTTTTTTAACTTTTAGTATTTAAAAATGGCTTTTTCAAACCAAATTTCAATTGAATCAAGTGAAAATAATATAGCTAGCCAAAGTTTTAACAAATGTTAAGATGAAGTTTTTATAAACATTATTTGCAAATTGCCAATACTTATACAAAAAAGCCAAGTTCCAAACGTTAAAATAAAGAAAAACAAAGCATTTTTAAAAATGCAAGACCAAATGGGCGCTACTGCAGTTTCTCCCCCCCCCTATTTTTTATTGTTGATTATGATAGAGAACTTTATGCTCATTAAAAATCGTATAAAAACATAGGTCTGAAAATCAACAGAAAGAGCTCTAATTCGATCTTGAAGTTTAAAAAATTAGACTAAAAAACGCTAATATTCGCCATTTTTTTAATTCTCGGTTATATTAAAATTCTTTTCAAAGATGATTTTAAAAAAGCCTGGTTTCTATCAACAATTTAATGCAAAACTGTTAAAAAATGCTCAGCGCACCATTTTCTGATTTATCCCTTGCCCAAACCCAAATCCTGGACGTTTAATCGCGCTAATCCCTATTTGTCAGTCGATATATGTGCTTTTAGTTGTGCCAATCCCTATTTGTCAGTCGATGTATGTGCATTTAGTTGTGCCAATCCCTATTTGTCAGTCGATGTATGTGCATTTAGTTGGGCCAATCCCTATTTGTCAGTCGATGTATGTGCATTTAGTTGTGCCAATCCCTATTTGTCAGTCGATGTATGTGCATTTAGTTGTGCCAATCCCTATTTGTCAGTTGATGTATGTACATTCAATTGCCCAATCCCTATTTTTCAGTCGATGAGTGTGCATTTACAGGGTTTATGCGAAATATAAAACATTTTTTAAGAAAATATAAAACATTTTTTAAGAAAATATAAAACATTTTTTAAGAGAATATAAAACATTTTTTAAGAAAATATAAAACATTTTTTAAGAAAATATAAAACATTTTTTAAGAAAATATAAAACATTTTTTAAGAAAATATAAAACATTTTTTAAGAAAATATAAAACATTTTTTAAGAAAATATAAAACATTTTTTAAGAAAATATAAAACATTGTAGTTGAATCAATTGTGCAATTATGATACATAAAGTTATTCATAAATTTCTAAAGAATAAAGAGTATCTTTTATATAATTATAACTCATTATACTTAAAGATATAATATAAAAAGCAAAGTATCCACTTTAGTAAAATTCTTGTCTTGCTATGCCTTTCAAAACCCATCTTCTCATATTATAATACCAACCACAAAAATCAACGCCAATTGTCGGTATAAGCGAATTTAAAGTAGCCTCAACTTCATTGCTAGTTTTTGGAAACGGCCAATATATATTATAATGTATAATTAGCTTTAAGACAACTAAAGTATTCCTCAATCGGGTTCAATTGTGGTGAATAAGGTGGCAAAAAGTAAACTGAAACACTGGATTGGCTGAGCAAATTGATTACATCTCTTCTACGGTGAAATGCACAATTATCCAATACTAGTACAAAATGGGGATACGTTTGGAAATACGGTCTTAAATTGTTGGTTATAAAATCGCAAAAAAGATTGCCATTATAGGCACCATCCACTATCTTAAAGCTTAAAATACCATTAACTGTTATAGCGGCCATGAGACTTACATTCTTTCCACGATTTGCTGGCACTGTAACAAAACATTTTGTATTCTTTATAGAATAGCCATACTGTTTAGAAGTATGTAAATTAAAGCCTGTTTCATCTAGAAACACTAAGTTATTGTCAGGAATCGAATTAATAGTCCTGCAAAAACTTTGTCTTAAATCAACGTTTTGCGGCGAATTCCTTTCTTTTGGTACTAATGTAAGTCGTTTTCTAGTGAACTCCATCGACTTCAAATACTTAGATATTGTTGGTATAGATGCATTAATATTCCTTTCAACGAGAATGTTTCTCAATGATGCTAACGTATGAGATGGATCATGCTCAATTAACATTCGAATTTCAGATTTAAGTGTCTCGTCATAAGAGCTGTGCCTTCCTTTTTTTACTGATGCGATTTCATCATCACTAAGTCCTTTACAGATTTTATCAGAAATAGAACGTGCTGCAGAAACTGATATTTCAACTTCTTCCGCAATTTCTTTTAACTTCATTTCTTTAAGAATTGACTTTCTTATTATTTTTACAATATCCTTTGTAATAAGTGTTCTTTTTTTTCTTTGTCTCTTGTTTTCCATTTATTGATTAAAACAACAAAATAAAGCTTGAATAATATATTTTTACAGATCCCTTTCTTTGTTGTGAATAAACCACATAAATTCCATAGTATAGAGTAATTACGTAATTGAATATTTTATGTTAAAATATTAAACATTTAATTAACTAATTAAATGTTTTATATTAGCATAAAATTTGTTTTATATTTTCTTTAAAAATGTTTTATATTTTCTTTAAAAATGTTTTATATTTTCTTAAAAAATGTTTTATATTTTCTTAAAAAATGTTTTATATTGTCTTAAAAAATGTTTTATATTTTCTTAAAAAATGTTTTATATTTCGCATAAACCCTGTAATTGCGCCAATCCCTATTTTTCAGTCGATTTATGTACATTTAAAAAGCAATATTTAAATTTATTTCAAAAAAAATAATTAAAGTTATATAAAATACATTCATAAAAACATTTAAATCAATTATAAATTAACTTTGATGACAATAAAAACCAGGTCGCGTAATTAAAAAAAGATTTTCTTAACGATCGATTTTAAAATATAAACTTTGATGTAAAACGTATTTTAAAAATGGCGAATATTTGCGTTTATTAGTGTAACTTTACCAATGACGTAAATAAATAACTAGATGTCTAACTTCGGGATTTTTATAAAATAAAAGTGAAGCCGATTTATTTGTTTACTATTTTAATCAGCCATTATTATATCGGGCAGAAAACAGTAAATATCATATATAATATAGAGTAAATTCGCGACATAATTTCTTTTACCTTGCTGAAGTATTTATTTAATTCAACTATTTTCATCACAAAATGGTAAATTCTTGTGCTGCATATGGATGTTCTAATAGATACATAAAAGGTGGCGAGAAATCCTTTCATAAATTTCCTTTTCAAAATTCTGAATTATGTAAAAAATGGATTATTGCTTTGAAACGTGAAAATTTTCTTCCATCCAAACACACCTGTATCTGCAGCGACCATTTTTTAGAATCAGACTACAATTACTGTATCCCAGAAAAAAAAAATCTAATTCTTGATCATTATCATAAGCCTATTTTAAAATGTAATGCTGTGCCATCCGTTTTTGTATTTTCTACAAATATTCAAAAGACTAAAAGGAAACTCCCATCAATACGAACATCAGTAAATTCATTATCTAAATTTAATTCTTTTTCGAAAAAAACAAAGTTTGATGTTTGCCCTGTTATAGACAAACCAAGCAAAGAAATTAATTCAACACATAATGATCAGCCAGAAAGCACTATTGAACAAAATGACCACACTAGTCAATTTCCAACACAATCTATAAAATCTTTATCACCAGCAAAAGAAAAATTAAAAAAAAGTTAAGGTTTTACAACAAAAATTAAGAAGAAAAGAAAAGAAAATCTGCTCTTTACAAGACATGGTTTCCCTTTTAAAATCTAAAAATTATTTGACTACTGATGCTGGAACTGTTTTAGGCGAAAATTTTTCTGGACTCTCATATAAAGTTATTAAGAACCAATTTTCCAATCAAAATATTAACCCAAAAGGTCACAGATACAACGATGAAGTAAAAAAATTCGCTTTAACTCTTCATTTTTATTCTCCTTGTGCGTATAACTTTCTTCGGCCAATGTTATGTCTTCCTGCTGCCAGTTCAATATCACATTGGACATCATCTGTAAATTGTGATCCCGGTTTATTCCTTGATGTTTTTTCATATCTTGGTGATAAACAGAAAACAGATATTAATTTTAAGCATTGTGCTCTTATTATTGATGCTATGGCAATCAAAAACAGTATAATTTATGACAAAAGTTCAGGTCACTATATTGGTTTTTGTGATCTAGGTAAAGATATTTCTGTATGTGAACCTGATACTCCAGTTACAGAGGCATTAATTTTTATGTTAGTTGGTTTGCGAGGACATTGGAAAACACCCATTGGTTATGTTTTATCAAATAAAGTTAAAGCAAGTGATTTAACATGTTTTATCAAAAATATTTTAGATGTGGCTTTGACATATGAATTTTGTATCAAAAGTATTACATTTGATGGTACTAGTACAAATTTAAATTCCGTTGTCCCATTTGGATGTAAGTTTGGCAATGTCATAGACAATATAGTTAGTACTTTTTTATATAACAACCAACTGCTCCACATTTTCCTAGACCCATGCCATATGCTTAAATTAGCTAGAAATTCTCTAAATGATTTGGGTGTTTTTATTGATGATGAAGGCTGCTATATTAAATGGAGTTATATTAAAGCTTTGTTTGAGTTACAAGAGCTTGAAGGTTTAAAATTTGCAAACAAAATTTCAAGAAAACATATTGAATTTCATCGCCACAAAATGAATGTTAAGATAGCTGGCCAAACACTTAGCAGCTCTGTTGCTGATGCAATTGAATTTTTAATGGTATCGCAGCATCCATCTTTCTTAGGAGCAAGTAGTACAATCCGTTTTATTAGAGTTATTGATAAATTATTTGACATGCTCAATTCCAGAAATCCAAATGGTAAACACTTTAAGAAACCTCTATATCTAAATAATCAGCTTTATTGGAAAGATTTTTTAAACAATACGATTACTTATCTGAGCAAGTTGACTGATATTAATGGCATTCCATTGCTTTTACATCGAAGAAAGACATTTGTTTTAGGTTTAATTGTAGATGCTAAAAGCACTCTAAAATTATCCTTCGATCTGTTAACACTTCATGAGAAGCCATTTAAGTATGTTCTAACTTACAAATATTCCCAAGATCATCTTGAACTACTATTTGCTTGCATTCGTGGAAAAAATGGTTACAACAACAATCCTGATGTAGTGCAGTTAAAATCATCGTTAAAACGGATTCTTCTGCGAAACTCCATTGTTGGATCGAGTCATGCTAACTGCCTAATGTTTGAGCCATATTCTAATGGCTCTATTTTTTCTCTTAGTTGGAAAAAAAGGTTGTGTTCTGTTGATAATTTTGACCAAGAGGATATTGACTTTGAAGAAGTGCTTTTGTACTGCGATGAACTTCAAATGTCTAGCTACAAAGAAGCAATATTGGGATATATTTCTGGTTTTATAGTCAGAAACTTGATAAATACTATTTATCGAACTATATTATACGAACATTTCTATGCGAAATCTTATTCTTCGTTAAATAATGTGAAAAATCGTGGTGGTTTGTTTTTGCCATCAAGGGATGTTGTTTTTGTTGTAGAGATGTGTGAGAAAGTATTTAACTTCTTTATTAGTGGTAAAGATTTTAAAAATCCAAAAATAACCTCAGATAAAAATATAAAGCATAAGATGCTCCATTGTGTTAACAAATTAATTATTAAAAAAAAAGTCTTTAAAGGACTTGATAGTCACGACATAGAATTGTGGACTGAAAATGAAGATTTGCATTCCAGCCAGCTTGTTACAAAGATATGTGAATATTACTTTAGAATTCGAATGTTCAGATATGCCCAGGACTATACTACTAAAGTTCTAAGTAAGTCGTCAATTGGTTTAAGACAACAAACAAATAAATTAATATTGTTCAAGGGTTTATGATTATTTCATTTTATTGTATAAAACTTTAATTAAAATAATAAAATATGTTATACGATGTTTTAGTTTGATGTTCTAAATGCAAATATGTTTTTCAATATATATTTTTGTGGCTATAAAAATAGCCTATAGAACTTTCAGCGAGTGAAGTCAAACTTGCTAATCTTTTAGATACAGAAAAGAATCCTACCTTCACACAAATTGATGGTTAGTAAAGACAACTTTGTTTATATACGTACATATTATATATATATATATATATATATATATATATATATATATATATATATATATATATATATATATATATATATATATATATATATATATATATATATATATATATATATATATATATATATATATATATATATATATATATATATATATATATATATATATATATATATATATATATATATATATATATATATATATATATTAGGGTGCATCACCACATTAGGGCAAAATATTAGTTGTTTATTTTTGAGCTGTCTGTGTTTCCAATGTGTTCCAATGTGAATAATGATAACTTGAGTGAAATATTTTCCAAATCTGAGTAAGTTTAGAGGTCCCCTATGAGAATTTGAAATCCAGGAAACCAACCGCAAGACACAAAGTCGATCGACTAGTAAGTTTTTTCATAAAATTCAATACTTATTGTCCTTTAATGAGAATAATGACTATAGTAATAAACCTAAATTGTTTTAATTGTATAATGAAGGCAACTGAACAGATAAAACCAAATTGAGATCACTAAAATTATTTTCTATTCAATTTTTTCTACAAAAAGCACAAAATCATTAACCAAAAAATGCAAAAATCATTGACTACTATGACTAATAGTCAGTTCTTTTTTAATAAAATTCAATCCTCATTGCAGTTTAAGGTCTTATTAATGACTAATTAACTATAGTAATGAATCTTTATTTGTTTTAATAGTAGTAGAAAGATGTCAAATGAATCCAAAATTAGATAAACTGTTAATGTTTATTCCTTCTTGCATCGTTTGCGTCGCAAATTTGGTGTCTCTTTCCGATCTTTCTCGACCACTTGAAGAACGTTTTGGTAATGCTCATCCGATCGTGCAGTTTCAACAAAGTCCGATGCCAGCTTGACACCCCTCTCGGCACAATCATTCACCACGTTCACTGCTGCACAATTTTCAACACTGGCAATGTAAGCAGGTGTCTTTTCCCATTCATCGACCGAAAGTTCCAGAAAGCTGGTGTCTAATTGTAGACGGTAAACTGTAAACCAGGAGTCAACTCCAACCAGATCACTCAGTTGTGTTCTATGATCAAATGGATAATGGAAAATGTGGCTTGCCCCATCCGTTGCCAAATCGATTCATTGGAGCTTGCAGATCACTTGATGGTTTCAATTTGAGCAAGGCATCTGCAAGAGCTCGTCGTTCCGTTGATGGTACAAGCTTACTGAACAGTGCAAGTGGCACCATTTCCTCTGTGAAATACCACAGGTGCTGATTTAGAGCTCGAATTGCTGACTGCGAAATCACTTTGTCCACAGTCTCGTACTCTAGTAAACGTTTGTAAAGCTGTAAATCATTGTATGGGGAATCAACCGTGTTCCTACATGTGAGCCACCACACACTGTAAATATGAGTAATAAGCGTAGTGAATGCTCGTATCTTTGGTACTTGGTGACGAGTAGTGATAGTTCCTGCTGGTAGTTCCGCAATATGTTTCTCTAGAAGTGCAATTTTCAGGCCGTTGATCAGCTTTGCCATCCAACGAGCCTTGTGAAGAGCACCTGGCCTTCGGAATTTTACTTCAACCTTGGAAGAAGATAAATAAACAAGTGTGACCTTTGTGAATTCACGGTAGTCATCACGCAGGCAATCTACATCTTCAATTGCACGAGCAATCACCTCATCCTTCATCTTCGATAGCAGCTGTTGGGCCTCCACGTCATGATCAGTTGGACAAAATGGCAGTATCTGAGATGAGTCGTGTGGCACTAAATTCCAGTTACTTCGTAGCCTTGTGAACACTGTGACTTCTGGTGACTTTGATGCTTCTATCTTGAGGTCAGTAAACACGTGAGATAAAAGTACTTCACCATAGTGATGATGACATCCTGACCAGAGGACAGCACGTTCCAGCTTATCTTGAATGGCAATGCAAGCTGCAGTTAGGTGACCTGTATTTGAGCTCGTTGTGTTGAATGTCATAACAATTCGATCATTACAATGCCACTCGATCATTAGGTTCATTGTTAGCTTGGCAATGATTTCTCCAACAGATTGATCTGTACCCTTGAAGTAACTAGGCACTCATAGTAGCTTCAACTGCAATGCATCACCAACAACCACCGTCATACGTTCTTCAGTGACACGATTATTTGTTAAAGTTGGTGTCAGCTTTCCATCCCAATGCAGAGTACAGAGTTTGTGAATTTCTATAGAAATTCACAAACTCTGTACTCTGCATTGGGATGGAACCAGCTATTGTGAATTTCCATAGAAATTTCGCGTACAACCTTGCGTCGTGCGCGATCTGCAGTTGCATACGAAGAAGCAACCATAGATACATCGCCACCAGACTTAGCTATGACTCCTTGTGTGAATGCAGATTGTTGTGTTGGCGTCATCTTCAGACGTGTTGCTAATGACACAAGGTTTGGTCGGCTTAGCAAATCTGGTGGTATGAATGACAATGTTCCTTTCGGTTTTATACGGTTTGGTTTTTGTAGCTCCATTTCTTTTGATGGAGATCTAAATTCTGATTCCATGTCATCTTCAGAAGCAGACTTGCTTGACTCATCACTACATTTGTCAGTTACAACTTCT